TCCAACGATGTGTTGAAAAACCTGAAAAGCTGAAAAGAAACAGATTAGTAAATGATTAGAATAACACAATAAAACAAATATAAACAAATAAAATAAATATAAATTATAAATATCAACTAAATGGAGCGAACAACCCAACGATGAGACATTAAGAACCTAACCTATAAGACATGAACAACTCAACGATGAGACATAAGAACCCAACGACGAAACATTCGAATATTATACGAAATATCCGAATTTTCAAATAAACATAAAATCTGAAAAGTAAAGAATAATTAACACCTGGAATGAAACGGATTAGTAAGAGGAAACAAAATAAAAGAGGAAGAAATATAAACCAGAAAGATCTACCAAGTAGAAAGAACAACCCAACGATGAGACATTCGAATATTATACGAAATATTCGAATGAAAATAAATAGAAACGGAAAATAAAAGCTGGAAAGTGAAAAAATAATTAAAACCTGAAAAAAGAAAAAATAATTAAAAGCTGAAATAAAAAAATTATTAATATCTGAAAACAAAAAATAAATGATTAGTAAATTGTTTAGGGGGGTGGAGTGCAGGTGGGGGAGCCAACCCCAACCACACTTCGAAACCACCCCCTACGCGCACAACGAAAAATTTAACGTGTCACTTCCGAAGTCCAACTGACAAATGAGTTTTGCTCTGTCGCGTCGTTCCTTATATAGCCGTCGATCGGCCAAGCCCCCACCCCGATCGAAAATTTTCTAGCTTTGCTGATTACATTAATTATCAATTTTCAGCTCCATAGCCAATAATTTAATAATTATTTCCCTTTTGCTATAGATATACGTTGTGAACAATTTGTTAGTAACAATATCAATTTGTTATTAACAATCAGTGCAACAATTTATAAACCTTTTGCAAATTATCGGAACATTTTAACACGAATACGCTATAAATTCAAGTAATAGCGAATAATTTATTAATTATTTCACCTTTATTATAAATTTTCATCAACAATTTGTTATTAACATTTAGCGTAATAATTTTTTTAACTTCTTGCGAATTGTTGGAACATTTTAACACAAGTACGTTATAAGTGTAAGCAATGGCAAATAATTTATTAATTTCTTCACCTTTATTGTACATTTTCGTTATCAGCAATTTGTTATTAACAATATTAATTTGTTGCTAACGGTAAATATAATAATTTATAAGCTTGATTTATGCTTTTAGAATATAAATTTCGTTGACACGTTTATATTAAGTATTTCTATGCCTTAAGCAATTTGTTCGAAACAATTTCAATTCGTTGTCAATGATGAATATGATAATTTATCCATATATAATTTTTATAAACTATAACTGCATTTATATTACCAAGAATTTTCGTGATATATATATGTCAAAATATATCTATTTCCACTGTATTTTTTACTAAAACGAAGTATTGCACGAAAAGTAAAAACAATTCATTCTCATTTTCAAAGTTAAGTGGGATTTTATTTTTAAGCAAGTTTATATTTAAAAATTATTCATATTTATATTTCGTATAACGAAATTGTTTCAAATTACAAGTGATTTAGAGAAATTTCTTATAATTTTGCTATTAGTATAAAGAAGTACATAAAAGGGAATAAATGTTATACCTATAAAAGATGAGATCTTTTGCACAGTAATTTTGGTGTCGATTACGCATGACTACGGCCCTGACGAAACTAGGTGTGCTCCCAACCTTTTTACCTTTTACGTAATGCTTCATTTTAGCTAAGAATAGTGCCCAATTTAGGAAATCCAACATTTTCGAAAACCGAGGATGGAAAATTAATTTCGATGAGTGATTCATGCGCAGGAAAGTAAACTCCACGAGAATTTCTCAATGAATATTACAAATTAGAGAGAAATTTCAAAATTCTTGGATAGCGTAATCGACTTTGGCTTCGATTTCGTTGAAACCTCGTCGAGACTATGATAATTTCAGTATCAACGAGAAATGTCATCGTATGAGTCATTAGAAAATCGTACCAGGCTAAGAACTATCATTAGTAACGATAATCGCGTAGATCTCAAGAAAGTTTCACGTCAAACCTTAATTACTAAAATAATTTACTTCGATGACAATTGAATATCGCGGTATATAATCACGCATTCCACCGTCCAGTGGCGCTGCGGTCGTCCACTGTACCGAGTCGGTAAAGTCGCATGCGATACCAAAGTGGTAAGCTTCATAGCCGATCTCGAAAATTATTCGGAACGAAAACGAGTACAAAGCGTAATGTTCGTCAAATTTCTCCTCCAATTTTATACATCGATCTCACCTTCTCTGGGATAACGCTCAAAAGGTAAAGCAGACACGTGCAAGGTGGTTTCTGTCGCAACTGAGCGGCTGGTATTTCGGGGCACGCTGGTCGGTATATCACGCGTATATCGTGGCTGGAACGTCACGCGATGCACGACTGTCTCTAAAACCAGAGCCAACGCTCCGATACATCTCGGTCAGACGCAGATACTTGGGTTAATTAGTGCCCTCGTATGCGTTTGAACATGGACGCGCGATCGTAGGGGGATTAGTATCGATTCTCCATTAATTTTAATGAAAGATGCTAATCGATTCAGGTGTAAACGCTTTATCGGCGAGTCGCAGTGATTCCAGGAATCTTTGGTATTCAGCTTCTTGCATGCAGCGTGTATCGCAATACGTCCCTCGCGGCCTCGTTCCCGAGTTATGGTTCATTACGATAAACCCGGTCGGAATAATTAATTTCATTCGGGCGTTTACAAATAACCCACGCCATCTTCGCCGATTCGCGTTTCCAATATTAATTCTCGGACGTCCTACGTAACGCATCCACCGAATTGACCCGCATATCGTTCAATTTTCGCCACTCGAGGTCGCCTCGAATACGAAACTTTTATCGAAGGCCTCGAAGGAATTTAATCTTTCGACAAGTCCGTTGGCGAACCTATTACGAAGCTTTATCAACCGGTTCTTCAATTACATCCTGGCCAGACGCTATCGCGTCCATGGCGATAAATGCTTTTACACGGGCCGTATGCCGTATGCCTCGATTTCCCCGGATGATCCATCAGCGATAAAGAAAGGACGGAGAATGGAGGGCGAGTGGCACGAATTGGACGTGGAATCGGAGGCAGAATCGAAGGTGGAATCGAAGGTGGAATCGGAGGTGGAATGGGAGGTGGAGCTGCACGTGGAGTCGAAGGCCTGCCCGGAGGAAAGAAAAGCCGCGGCGAAGAGGGCAAAGATGCGTGGCGAAGCGAAGAAAGCACGCAGCTGGAGTGCGGGCCACGAAGATGCAGGCAACGAACCACAGGCCCCGGCCGGAGAGGCCGCGGCTGGAATGGAGCTGGAAACGAGAGGCTGCGGGGGAAGTGGATGCCAGCCGGTGTGTGTTGATGCAAGTGCGGTGACTGTACGTGCTGACTGGCGGAGTCAGTCAGTCAGTCAGTCAGTCGGCTCGGCACCGGCCGCGACGCACGATCGCGTGGATTTTTCTTCCTTCTCCGTGGACACGTACGCACGCACGCACGCACGCACGCACGCATACAGACGGTCGCGACGGTCTCAACACGCCTCCGTTTCTCCGCCGTGCAGTGGCGCACGCCGCACGGCCCGACCTGTTCCTCGGCCCAGTTTTTCCTCAGGCCGCCACCGATTTTCCACCGTTGCGAGACCTGCTGCTGCTGCTGCTGCTGCTGCCCGCCTGCACGCAGCCACGGATCCTCGTCGGATTACCACGCATCGGGTCCGTCGAAATTTTCCAGCCTGACTCTCACCGTCGTGCATCGAACAGGTAAGCCAGAGCCATACGAAGTTTCCGACTTTTCTTCCACTGTCCGCCGAAGCATCGCGCGGTGGGACGGCGCGGGTAACGCGGCGAGTTCTCGAGGTCGTGGAAGCGACGGTAACAATAGAGTCGCAGATGTCGGCCGAAAGAAAGGAGAAGAGAGAGAACCGTTGGTTCGAAAAGGAATCGTCCGGTGGCAGCGCGCCGCCGTCGTCGAGCACGTTCGCGCGCGCGTCCCGAGTGCAGAGACGCGGACATGCTGAATTATTTTCGTGTCCCGTTAGGCGTCAACGATCGACGGCGATCGATAGTGGATATCCCGTGAAATTTCGCCGATTTCGTCGGAGCCTCTCTTTTTCGGGTGTAATCCGCGGTCGAGTGGCGAGCGTGACATCGCGGTGCGCGCGAGCACGGGAAAGTCGGTTCGGAACCGATTCGCTCGCGATAACGCGCGAAACCGCGAGCCGGCTCGGCAAAAAGCCGCGAAATTCGCCGATCGCCTTGTTTGTTTTCTCTAATTGCTCCCGGCCGCGTTTCCTTCTACGGCCCCGAGTCATCTCGGAATTCCTCGAGATCGAACCGAGCCCGTACGCGGAATTCTCCACGCGCGTCGGTTTCCTCTCCCGTCGCTGCTAACGAGCCTATAGCAACGTCGCTCGCGATCCAACGCGGTTTCCAAGTGTCGTTCCCTCGCCGAGCTCCCGATTATCGCGATACGCGGCCGCAAAGTGGCCGGCCGCGTCCACTCCTTTGTGTACGCTCCGATACCATCGGTTTCCGCGGTTAGCGTTCGGACGGAATCGATGCAATTAACGGGACAAAGGAGAGCACGGTTCGCGGGCTAACGTTATCGGTCGAGACGCGTTCCTCGTCTCGCGGCGAGTCCCGACGACGAGCGGAGGCGTGTCTCCGAAGCGTGCGACGAATCTCGTGATCGTCGGTGACTCGTCGGATTCGGGTTATTTTTAGCCAGACGAACGGCGTCGTGACGTCGCGACCACGACGCGTCCGATCCTTACCGATGATCCAGCTCGACCTCCTGTCGATCTCTTCCACGAAATCGCGGTCTTCCACGAGATTCTTTCGACTAATCGAGGCGTCGTTTCGAGTAATCGATTCGGGGAAGATGACAGACGAATCAAAGTCCGGCGTTATTCGGCGCGCATGATCGACGAGGACGCAGCTCGTAGATCGTAGATCGCGTGGAGAGGAAAGTTACTTTTAATTTTCCGTGCCTGCCACGTTCCTGCGAGTACGCACGCACGTACGCGCGTATGCGTCTATCGGTATGGCGTTTGTCAGGGCGCACGTAACAGGCTGGCAACGTTTCACCGGAGCGGCGCGGCGGAAGGTGTTTCGACGCGGGTGAACACGCGGCAGGCGTGCGCGCGATTTAAAGGAGAAAAAGGCCTGACACGTGAAAGTACGCTTGCGAAATCGAGGAGAGGATATAATCTAATTCTAACGGTAACGGGATCCCGTTCCGTTCGTTCCGTGGCCGTCTGCCAAAACAAACCGAACGCGCGTTAATTGCTTCTAATTATTCGACGAGTTCGTTAACGGCGATCCGTCCGTGAGATACGGGCCCGCGGATTCCGACATCCGACGCGTCAGCTGTCCGCGTTACGGCCAGGCCAAAAATTCCTTTTACGCCTGTCCGTTTACACGCGATCGCGCGATATTCCAAAGACTTTGCCCATTTTTACAACTTCTCCGTTACGTGCGCCCGCGATTTTATCGGCAGCGCAACAATGTGTTCAGGAAGCGCGATCTTTCGCTGCGAATTCTTCTTCCGCGTGGATTTACCTTCTACGTCGGATATAGATTCGCGCGGGTTGCCATAGATTTCTATAGAAAGTACGCGCGAACGAGGCGCGCGGATTCTTTTAAAGAAGCCTCGACGAGGGGGAATTTTTCTACGCGCGTCAACGTTCATTTCGCGTAGATATTCCTCTGTTCGTAGCTGGCGCGATATCTCGGCGGGCAAAAGTAGGAAAAACCACGACGGATATGCAACTGTACCGGTGATCCAAGACGAATGGGTCGTGACAAATTCCGGGGCGCGCCACTCCGGCGTGGTGTTACGGCGCCGAACGGAAACTGCGAGTTGTGTCCCCGGTGTGGATGGCGGCCGGAGCAGAAAAATGGCGCGGCCATTGGCGAGAGGCACCTTCCAGCGCACCGCGATAACGTAATTCGCGCGTGACCAATTGCCAGGGCTCAATTGGAACGCAACAGGCACGGCTCTAATCCGCGTTTTACACGCGGCGGTCCGCTAACTCCTCTAGTACGCGTGTCGCTTCTCGCGCGGGCAGGAACGCGTGGAAATGGCCGCGTGGCTCGGTTTATTCTTTCGCGTCGCTCGGTTTCGTTCCAGTTTCCGGCTCGATATCTCTGTTACACCGCCAATTAGGGCGCCGTAGTAACGAGCATTTGTAATCGAGACCGCGGCAATTACTCCCGTATCGGTCGGTCACGTGTGAAAATCCTCGTTTCCTAGTTGCACGCGCTTCGCGCCAATTGTCCCGGCTTTCCGCGGAACTCCGTTTTAAACTTTTCCTCTGCCCCCCCTCGCATGCTGATCGTGGAATCGGTAGCTGCTGCCCGGTTCACTCGAAACCGTCGGGCGAGAGGCGATCGGTGAACGGACGATTCGACGAGTGTTCGCGGAAGCGATTAGCTGGCTGACACAGTTTAAGATTCCGCGGCAATTTTACGGCTCGGCCGCGGAGGACTGGACTGGAAAGAATTCCGCTGATTTTTTTCCTTTTTGTTCCTTCGCCCCTCCCCTTTGCAGCCGATCCGGAGTATCGAGTCGCGGAACGTGGACGAGCCGACGAAAGCAGGATGTGAAATCTCCTGTTACGTAGCGGCCGCACCGCGTAAAGAAAATCTTGGATTTCTGTGCACGAAATCCGATGCCTCGACCGACGTTGCATCTCTCCTTTGTGTCGCGGCGTATCTGCTGCACGGCTGATTAATAAGATTCACCTTGAACAACAACGCGGCTGGAAAATCGACTCGCCTAGCGACTCGTGATCCGAGTGGCAACGATACTTCATCTAGAAAATTTCTCTCCTCGAATAAGTAGCGCGTAATGGCTGACTCACTGCCGGGGAAAAAATACGTCTATCGTCAGCGTCGGAGGAGCACGCGTTCGCGCGAGCCTCGGACCTCGGACGCGCGACGCAGCTGCGTGAACGGGGCATAACGTTATCGTACAATTAGCATAGGATGCTCGAGCGATCGTGGTATCGCGGGGTAATCGATAGCGGACTCGAACGCGGGCTCTCTGGTAACCCGTATTTCGCTGGGAACTTGACATAACGCGAACGTTATTGGTAGCAATAACGTTTACAAGCTCGTAAATGGGCAACAGCGACGCGTCCGCGGGGCAAACTCGGTGTGGACGGGCCATAAGGTCGCTAATGGCGAACGATCTTCGTATCGTTGCGTTCGCTACGCGCAAAGAGGCTACAGCGATATTTTTTCTCTCTCTCCTTTTTGCTTCCTTTCTCCCTTCGACGGGTAGGATCGCGGGAAGGAGAGGCTTTGTTTCTAGCCGTGCAAAGCTTCTTTGTATCCGACGTAATAAAAAGGAAAGGACACGGTCGCGGAGTCGAACGATAACGCGAAGTCACGACTCCGCGAGAGCTGTCCCGTAAAAGGAAACGAACGTAACATACGTACGAAGTAAAGTGTATTATTTACGTAGTTATTCACCGTTCGGAGAGCAACGATCCGGCAAACGTTCTATGCATAGTTAAAGCAGCCAGGGACGGTGACTTTCCCCTCCTCGTTAAATTATCAAAGGTTAGAAGTCTCCTCCGATATCCGCGCGAAGAGGCGGCGAAACTTGATTAATTCATTCGAGGGGATGAACGCAATTACGTCTAACATCCCCCCGCGATTATACAGGCTGCTTATAAAGCGAGGTGTCGCCCGTAAGAAATGCGTTCTACTTATTACCCCGATGAAGACGAATCTGGCAAACAGCCCGATAGCTTCTCTCCGACTTTCCTATCCCTCCGGGGTAGATTTTTCATGGAAATTTCTCCGGCGTGCCGTCGCTTCTATCCGCGCTGCTATCCGCGCTGCTATCCGCAAGAAAAATTATATTTCGATCGCATTTTTCTTCGCCGCTCGAAATCGCCGAACCGTGGACAAGGAAGAAAAAAGTCGCGGTCGACGTGCCTCTCGAGAAATTTGCACTGATTAAAATCGGACATTCCACTTACCCCGGCCCGTTTAATCCTCGCAAAGTAAACCCGCTCTCGCAAAGGGAAGACGGAAAAATCGAATATCGGCGAACGCAAAGACTACTCTCCCCGTGTCCGATACCAGCGGCAAACGTTTCGAAATATTAAATCGAAATATTACGAGCAAAGGGATCTATCCGAGGTCCGGTCGAGCGGATAAATCCCCAGTGATCTAATATACCGGATTGCGCGTGCCTTTCCTCCGGGCTAATTATTAAACGCAATTATCAACGCGCTGATATTGCTGTCCTTTCCGATGTTACGACAAAAATTCAACGTTATTCGGATGCAAAATAGCTAGAAATTTGACTAAAAAAGTCGTCACGTTTTGTATTGTATGCAAAACCAAACTGTATTTTTGTTTAGAGTGTTTCCGCTAAAAATAACGTGGTAAGGATCGGATTAACGAGTTAAATGGGACTTTCGATTTTATTATATTTTATGTTTCCTGGTGTAAAATATACGAAGGCCGAGGTCTTTTATGATGCGTGGTGCACACTGTGGACCGTAAAAAAGTGTGTTGCGTCGAATTCTTCAGCATCATTTTATAAGTTCTATGACAACCCAGCTTCGTGAATTGATAAGCTGAATGGTTCCTCGAAGCGAAGATAAATCTCGATGCAGAGATTTTTTCCTCTCGCAATAAAATACGTCTCAACGTATTTACAAAAATCAATATTTTAGGAGAATTAGATATGTCTTTGAACTATGCGTCAAAGTGTTTATTTCACGCTGTAGATAAGAATT